AAAGGCCAAATTGGTTCTAGCAATAGAGAAACCCATATCAATTTAGATTCTGTACATTGGATACACAATTAAAAACAATCAATAAAGACTCAATTTAAGATTTCAAATAAAGTATACATACGTACATATGTAAGTATAAAATTTTAAAATATGTCAGGCTTTATGTCTATTATTATTATGCATACATAAAAATTTTGGATAAACCATCAGATTGCACGGATCAATCTAAATTTTGGATTCGTTTTAGTTTATTTTGGTTCAATCCTGGATTAACCATCAGATTGGCCCCAGATTGTTTTTATATCAATCTGAATTTCAGATTCAAATCGGATTCAGATCAATCCCAGATTAACCGAGATTTTTAATCTGATTTGGAATACCAGGGTTGGGTACAAAAAAATTTTTGAGTATGCCTCATAGGCATGTTTCAGATTTTTTTGATTTAAAGACATGCCCTATAGGTATGCCTCCAAATTTTTTATGTGACAACTTTTTGTATATATAAATTTTTTGAAAAAAAGCATGCCTAGAAGAATGCCTCTTATGCTCCATGCCTAGGGTTTCTGGCATGCAAAAAAAAATTTGGCATGCCACAGGCATGCTTTTTGTCAAAATTTGTACCATGGCATGTCATAAAATATTGTATTATTAATAATTATAATACTAAAAATCTAATATATAGTTAGATATTATAAATATGGTTTTTTATACTGTACCCAGTGGCATGCCAAAAACAAATTTGGCATGCCACTATTGGCATACCTTTGCCACTATGCCAGACACTTTATCCATGCCCCAACTCTATTTGTGCTTTACGAAAACAGCTATCACGTGATTATTTTGCATTTTAATTGGCTTTTAGGTTCGAAATATTATCTCTAGAAATACTCTATATTTATATATCGAAATATATAAAATTGAGTACTTTTTTTAGATGCACAGGTTGAAATTTTCTTTTTTTGCAGAAATCTTGATGCCAATCGACTCTTTCCTATCCCAGTAACAAAATTACAGAGCCATTTTTTTTATATTATATATGGGAACGAATTTTTTTCTTACTTTATGTGTATTTGTTGTTTGGATAATTTGGACGAAATTTAAGCTTCTGGCAAAATCTTTTTAAACAAATATCTCTGTAACTTGCATTGCAGAGACCTTCTATCGATTCATTCAAAGCTTGGGATTCTAATTTTTGTTGTGAGCCCTGCATCTAAATCTTTATCACGAAAAATTTTATACCAAAATTTTATATAATATCATATATAGTTTTGATTTACTTAGCTGACAGATAGCCCCAATTAATCATGCCGAGTTTAACTCTGATGGCTGATGTGAAGAAGATGCGGGAGTTTGATGAAATTAAGGAACTCGTATTTCGTGGTTATTAGGCATTTATTATAGAAAAGAATGTATTATTTAACGTACAAACTCGGAATAACGCCTTTTGAAAATCAAGACCTTCAAAAATAACATGTAGTTTCAAATTAATGCCCAGGTGCGTTTCGAATTAATACGCATCCATCTATAAAAATAAAAAGTGTACCGGAACTGGATTTGGTACTAAGTAAACTTCCTTTTGCGCTCAAATAAAAGTTCTTCAGACTAAGACAATTATAGCGGTAGTAAAAGCAGGTTTACTTGGTACAAAATTCAGTTCAGGAGCACTTTTCATTCCTTACTATACTTATATATTATAATTAAGGGGTGTTTATTTAACCTAAATTTCACAATAACGCACATGGGCGCACTCGAATTAGCGCGCAGGTGGGCGTTATTCTGAGTTTGTACGGTATGTATTCTTTATTTAGGGACGATTTCAAAGAGCATATATTAGATACATTAGTGAACTAGATGATGAACTAAGGGCGAGAACAACCCTTTATATACATTCCATTTCTTATGATGTCTGCGCTGTTCTACAGACAACTCATTCTATTAAATTTATGCAAACGCGTATACGCTCAAAATATCGCGTAAACGAAATTCACATGAGTTAAGCCACTAAGAATACATAACGATAATGCCTAATAAAATACGTATAAAGGTAAGATTAACATGGCAACTTAATGAATTAGACAAATAAGGAAATGAGAGACACAGGGAAAATTATTCGTTACACTAATCTATTCCTTATATTATAACAGGGTGAAACCCGAGCATAAGTATCCGATCTGAATTTATTCGGATATCCGTTTACTATTGATATCCGAATAATTATCCGAATATTTTTCGGATCTATTCGCTCTATATGAATAAAAAGGTCATTTGTATGATTATTTGGTAATTCATAGATTAGAAAACGAATATTTTTATATCTTTCGATTCATCTTGGTAAGGCAAACTGAATCGTATAAGAATTATTAAACTGTAAACTCTGATAGATCTCGTGTTAACTTCGATATTATGTCAAAATTTTATTAAATAAATCAATAATAAATCAATATTAGAATATTAAACTATTCAGATGGCCAAAATATATATGTTCTAAAAGTTTGATGTGAATTAAGTAATTTTTATTAATATATTTCATTTTTATCTTGCAAAATATTGAGAACCAGATTTTAAATTTGGTTCTGGACCAATCAGATTTAAATTAGGTTGAAACTTAATGTATAAACACTTGGTTATTAGATTTTTAATGTAAAACCTAAATGTTTTAGAACCTAAACCATCATTACCATCTCTAGGACCACTATCACCAGAATGCACACCTACAAGAAATCATTAGTACAAAATGCTTTTATTGATATATATCAAGAACCAGAAATTATGTAGCTTACCATCCAATGTAGCATTGACACAAGTTTTCCACGGATCTCGCTTGTTGTATTAATCTTTCAACTTGTGATGGGACATCTAATTCTTGGTTAGGGTTGAAATCTTTGCCTATAGTTTATTTAATATAAAAAATGATTACTTCTTGTAAATAACGCAATCAAAATACTTTATACAAACCTGTTAACTTATTTGATATGCGGTTTATGATGTCGCGCGCACGACGATTACTTGAACCAACTGCATTTAGAGTTTCACCATCTATTATTCAAATTAAACGTAGAATTTTAATCATCTCAGATATAACTTAAGATTAAGTTAGGTTGGGTTATTTTAAAATTAGTATCAACCCAACTCTGTTTTGAGTAAATATATATATGTGTCTGTATGTATGTATGTGTATATAATCATACCTTGTCGTGGACTTGGATTTGCCATAATTCTCCAATTTATCAAGGGATCATGGACGAAAGCCTCCAAGACTGCCATAAGACTTTCCTTATTTTTTCGCAAAACGTTCATTACTGCTTCACAAGTGGTGCGGAAATTGCCTTCAATTCCGCTTACTTCCATCGCATTCGTTAACATGCGTGTTAATCGGAATGGAATTTTTTCAGGGTATTTTTCACGCGTCATTGCGACCTGATTAAAATGCAACCAATAAATTAGGTGTTTTTATTTATTTGTTCCTAAGTAAAAACTTTACCTCAAAACAGTCGCCGAAATCGATGTGAACTATCTTCCCCGTGTAACGATCCAACATAATATTTGACGGATGCCTATCACCAAGTCCAAGAATGTATCCTACCATAGACATTAGAGCTAAAGATCGAGTATAGTTGGTTCTTCGTTCTAGCCAAGCTTCGGAATTTTTGCTCTTAAGCCAAAGCACCCTATACAAATCTTGTCCTGTTGTATTAGCTAATGCAAATTCGAAAACTTCAACTTTTTCGATTATTGTTAATTGATCATAATCGGGGGCCATCTAAGGTACGATTCGTAATGATATCAATTATAAGTGAAATAAATTATGATGAAAATTTTTAATGAAACAAACCTGTAACATCAATCTATGTTCAAGATTCAGTAGAATCTTCTTGCTTTCACGATAATCTCGGATTAGAGCATGAAGAGTATCACAATTAGGAACCCATCCAAGAAGCCCAATATTCGGCGTCAGGGGTGTGACTGTGTATCTTTGAATGTGCAAATGACGCTTAAAGGTTTCAGAATCGATAGAAAGAAGTGTGTTGACCAAACCGAACAGTTGCATTACACGTTCATCTTGGCGTAAATCTTCGTGACCTATAGAAATTTAGGCAATTTAAGAAATTTTATAGGATCTTTATTTATTTGCGACTTATTTACGACAAAGATCATAAATATAATTACCTTTTAATAGAAATTGATACTCTTTACCATCACTTCCAATTAAGTTTAATTTTCGTGGCCGTTGCTTAGAGGAAATAATGTTGACTGTTGGCACAAAGCTGGCAATTTTTGTCACAGGTTCTCCACTCTTATAGGTCCCTGAGAAAATTTAATATGTTATTGACATTTAAAATGAAAACTACAAATCAATTATATTTACCTGGTACTGCCAGTTCTAGATTACGTGCAGCAAGTAATTTTGGAGAGACATATTGGAAATCGAGCGAAGTAATCGTTCCAACTTGTGTAGTTATTTTTTTAAACAACTGATTTATAAATTTATATTAAATCAATTGAATCTAAAATAATCCTAAACATTAACGCACATATTTATTTCTTACTTCATGATAAATCTGCCACGCCTGTGCTAGGAATGTCATATCACCAGTTTGCTTATATTTTTTACACCACCCTCCAGCTTCCTGGAGTTCTCGCCCGTATGCTTGAACAAATGCCATCTCTCGCAAAGTTTCCGGTCCACGATCGAGGCGATCTTGTAATTCGTCCAAAATTTGGAACATAGCATCGAAATTGCGATCGATAAAATATAATCTTGATGCCTCTTCTAGGTTTTCCATCCATATTTCGTGCCATAAAATGGCGACACGTATAAGTTCTTGACTTACTAGTAAAGCCTAGTAAGATAAATTGGCTAAATTAAAATGATTATTATAGATCAAGTATCAATCTTTGGATCAAGGCATACTTGTTCAACAAGAACTGCACTATGTGACCGCAGTTTATCCATTACAGCAGAAGCTGCCATTTGCCTGTAAACACTTTGAGATTTTGAAGCGACTGTTAACGGATATATTAACGCTTGTGGATGTTCTTTACCAACGTCGACGAGCAAACTACGTATTAGCTCACGAACTTTAGCATTTGGCGCATGAATACGGGCGATAAGCTGTTGGATAAAAGATTTTTTAATGAACTCATATATATAAAAAGACTAAATAGTACAAACCAACCTGTGGGATGACTTCTAGCCAAGTATCAATGTTAACACTTCCAAATCCTTGTTTAATGGCCTTGCAAACTTCTTCATGAAAACCATATTTAAACCAGAGAGTAAGCAGTCGCAAAGTATCTTGCAGACAATTCCCTCTAGAAAGAGCAATGGATCTAAAGAAACCTATAATAATTTAAACCATGGCCCTATTTAGTGAATTTTATTATTTAACAACATTGGCGTAATATATATTCATTATCAAAAGACAACACCTTGTACAGAAGGAACCACGTAACGTAATATCTCTTGGTAATTATCTGCATTTTCCTCATCAAGAAGATCAACGTTTTGCTCTTCTTGAGAATCGTTATCAGCACCAATAAGCTTTTCGTAATACGATATTACTTCGAAATTAGCAAGGGCCCAAGCATGCCATGCCTTATACCAATCTTTATCATGTTGTGTAGCGAGAGAATATGATTGTAAAATGTCAGGTATAGTTTCCTAAGGATAAAATAGTATATAATTCAATAACAATATATCATCAAAGTGGGACAAAATATTTTATAATAAAGTATCAACCGTTTCCCAATCATCTTGCAGGACTTTCTGCCATTCACCCTTTTTAAGATAACAACGGGCAAGAAGTTCCTTATTTCCAACACGAAGATCATTGGACATCCTAGCTGTAAAGTCCTTTAGAAAACCTAAAGCTTCTTCACGGACTCCACTGGCCCACATCCATTTTAAGTAGGCATAAACAACTTGTGGCGCTGCTCTAGCCAAAATCTATTGACAATATGAAATATAATATTAGTTTAAAACATTTATAAATAATGCAAATCGTTACATCAAAATAAAGGTTTACCGAAGGGTGAACTACTTCTAATTTTTGATCACCAACTAAAAGTTGTTTCAATGTCTTCTCAGCAAATTCAAGACGATCACTCTTACGACATAAATTTGCAAATTTTATCCACATCTCCATATTTTCCTTAGGAGCTATAACTAATGCTCGCACTTTAAGTATCTGTTGCCAAACTTCAACACTACGCTGACATCCTTTTAGCCTATATTATAAATTGTCCTTAATATGGTCACAAAAACGTACCGTAAAAGTAAAGTAAAATGTACCTTTTCATCCATGTTTTCCTTATGGTTGCTTGCCTCTCAGGTTGATCGGCAAATTGCTTGTATGTGATTATTTCTTCTAGTTCAGCCAACATTTGTACACGTACAACGACACTTGAGGCAAAATTTCGATGTAAGAAATTGGCTTAACTGCTGAATTATATAGTTAAATCATTAGTATTACCTGTATGCACGATTGTAGCTCTCCCCAACAAGAGCAGTTAATTCAGTATCTAAAAGATCCCGCGTTTTATCGATATGACGAACTGCCTCATCATACTTGTTCTTATGTAAAGCAAGTATTGCTTGATAAAAAGATCTATCTGGAGATTCTGATTTAATTGTCGGAATATAATCTTCCATCAAATTCCATTGGCCTAGGGACCAAGCACCTGCAGCCGCATAAGTGGACATTGCTTTGCGCATATCATTTGTTGCAACGGGCCATTTCTTTTGAACAAGTTCTGAAAGTCCATCAAAATCACCTAAAGAGTGTAGACAACGCATAACGCCTAAAGTTGCCTCAAAATCGTTCGGCTCAATTTGCAGTCGTTTATTATAAGCAGCTAATGCATCCTCCCAACGTGTAAGTTTTTCATACCAATTTTCTTTTAATTGAATGTCTTGCAAACCGGGTGTTTGTTGTGCATGTTTAAGAATACCAATAGCAGCATCGGGAAGTTGCAGTTGGTTGTTGATTTGAATCAGTTTTTCGATAGTTTCAGTAGAAGATTCAGTCATAAATTCTAATTCTTTATAATGAAGCGCTTTTGCATATGCATGACATGTTTCAGCATGGTTACCAAGCGTTCTAATGTCAATTGGAAGTGGCTTATCATAGTGCTCCATAAATTCAGCAAGATTCAAAATAGTAGAAACTATTTCAGGAGGGATATTGGGTGCTCTCAATGCAGACATTAAAGAACTGACAAGTTCATCCTAACAATGAAATAAATAACAGAATAGATCGATGTTTTAAAAATGTACTAGCATTTCAGAATAATAATAATAGTTACCTTGTATTGATAGTATAACTCTGACCAACATGATATGAACCCTGCGTTAAATAATTCTCTTGCCAAGGGAACGTAAACACCAGCCAAGCTTGCACATGCTCGAAGTGCATGAGAAGGCGACTCTTTTAGTAATTCAACGCTTAGACGACGAATCCATTCGTGCCAGTCATCCTTTGTCGACCTTTGAGAGCATTCCCATGCATTCTTTAAGTGTTGTTGATTTACGGGTAGTTTTTTAGAATTTGCTTCAGCAGCTGGTGTCTCCTCAATACGTGCTTCGCTAAACCTGTTTAAAATTTCATCTATTTATCTGTTCGTGCTAAATCAACATTATAAATTTAAGATATTAAAATCTTTGACATTATATACCTCTCTTCTTTGCCTAATTCTTGGGGCAAGGGTTCACCTTTTAAAAGTTTGGAAACTAACAAATCATAGTCGTGATGCGAAATCTTGTATTTTTGCAAAATCTATTCAAAATAAGGAAAATTAAATCAAACAAACATATATATATATATAGGAGAGAAAAAGTGATTACGAATTGTAAGCGACTGAAATATATACTTTATTTATCAGCGGGATAAATATTGCATAATCGGATCCTAATTGAAATACTAAAGCACAAAGCGTATCCATTGCGGCCATTCTTAAATCGTTGTTATTTGTAGCCAAGACGCGTGCTAATGGATGAATAATTCTGGATGCATGATCCGAAAAGTTAACTTTTTTGGATAATTGTCCAATTGTAACAATAGCTGATTTACGTAATTGAGGAGGCAGATCAGTCCTCTCAAAAAGTTTGACAATTACAGGAATAACAAGGTGCATATATTCCTCAATGTTAGTGCCAAACACTGCAAGTGCATGCAATACTTTTTGGGTAGGTTGTCGCTTATCACTTTCATCTTCATCAAAAATTTGAAGCATTATAGGTAAAAGTTTAGGAAGATAATTTTTAAACTCGCCGTCCAGAGCTTTTGCAATTTCTTCTACAAGATGGATTATTGTAATCTGAATGGTAGAGCTTGGATTCCAAAACATTTCAACTAAAACGAAAATGTCCGAAAGGTAATTTCTGACATGTTGTTGAACAATAGAAACTAAAATGCTAAGCTGCTGAAAATAAAATTCTAACATTCCAGGCGGGCATGTCTTCATTACTCCTATGAATGCTGGTGTGATCTAATGAAAAAACATATAATTAATAATGTATTTATAAACATTTTTGAGAAATAAAATAATGGAAAATATACTTGTGGCAAGAATGGAACGCATTTCAAGCTTAAAGTTTTAAATATGTACATAACAGCTTGAATAACAGCTGTATGGTGGGCGCTCAGTGAAGGATCTCGTAATATTTTCATAAGGGCATTTATGACAACTGTTGGATAATATTCCTCTGACGTTGGGCCCATTCCCGTCATCAGAAGGGAAACGTCAGTATTTGAAGATTTTGGATCTGTTAGTGAATCATCAGAAGACCCAATCGTTATCTGTAACATTAATTATATCATAATATTTTGTTAGCATTTTGTATCCTTTGAAGCATTCATTTAGCAAGTTTACGGAATACCATTACCTTGTGCCGATAAGGGTCTAGAGCGCCCAAGATTCCCACCAACTTGACTGTTTCCCGTCGTATTGAGGGAGACTGCTCCGTTTTTAATATGTTGATAAGGATAGTAAGCAATTTGGGATATTTTTGATATGGTTCAATGACAAAGCCGGTGTTACTTGTGAGTTGACCTAATGTTTTTAACGCAGCGTCCCGTTTGACTGTTGAACTTTGATCTTGTAGGGCATCAATTATTAGCGGCATTAAGTTATCTAAGTACGGAATTAGATCTTCCCCCCCTACACGTGCCAATTCACCAAGTGCAGCCAAAACACTCGAAGCAACTGCAGGGCTTGGATCACGAGACTTGGGTAGTAGTGCATTAAGTATTGACTCTACGTATGGCTTAATCAATCTTTGAGAGGCAGAGACTAATAAGCTTAATAGCTTGGCACTTTCTTCCTTGTTACGGCTGTGGATAAAAATGAAATTTGTTAAAAACAAATTAGTTTTTTATAATTGTAATGGTGGTAATAGTACTTGACAACAATAATTTAACTTACCTCACACCAGAATATTCTAACTCTGTTAGAAGTTGAATCAACGTTTTCCGTAAGGATGGCATTACATATGCAGGATTATGAGAAGCTAGTCGTCCTATAATCGTAATTGTAATTTCTCGAATTGTAAATACTTCGTCATTGAGCGCAATAAATAAGGATCGTATATTCTCTGCCTGAGCCAAGTGTCGATCAAATCTTTCGGTAAGATGTGAAAGAACTGTCTCTCTAATAGATGGATCTGATAAGCCCAAAAGTAAAACAAAAACCAGAATTAACGAAAACATCGAGAGCAATTATAAATGTTCTGTACGACACTTACCAGGGTCTGCAACACCGACAGTTAACAGTTTCTCTAATACTTCGTTTACGACTTGAATTGAGTGATTACTCGCCTGATCCAAAATTGGATCTCGAGCGAATAGTTGACAACAAGTTAGAGCAGCCGCTCCACGAACTTCATGATTGTCCTGCTCTAAATAACGAACTACACAGTCTCTGACAAACTCATTTAATATGTGCCCTAAATTAATTAATGCAGATAGAATATTTTAATAAAGGAACTAAGTAAAGACTCAAATTATGCACATTATATAACATACAAACCTTCAAAATTAAAGCTTCCAAGTGTTTTTAGTGCGAGTGTTATTGTCTCCACGTCTTTTAATTCTGACATTTGATTTCCGAGATGTCGTTTCAAATCATTCCCTTCCGGTGCTGGTGATCCAGGAGGTCGAAATGGTTGTCCGCTCAGCATCATTGATAGCGTGTTTAAAAGACGCTCTTTTTTAATTCAAAAATTATTAAATTTAATTGAGCTTATTAAGAATATAAAATGGATAAACGGCATTACCTTGAATATTTGGCAGCAACGGTGGAATAAAGATTGCAAGCTCTGTGAGAGCCTGCCGAAGTTGCTCGCTTAATCCGCATGCGAACATTAAATCTAAAAGCTCATGCATGTGTTTTGTAAGTGCTTGGCCAACTGCCCGAGCCAACATACCAATGCATTGGAATAAGGGAGCTTCGCTTCCACCGCGGCTTCTCCTTTAAAGTTTTCAAATTTTAAACTTTTATTATAAAATGTTTGAGTTAAAATATATTAAATACTTACGCCCTTGTAGATAAACCTTCTTTGATATTACTTAATATAGAATCTAAATATGGACTCATGTTGCTCCCTATAGCACATGCCACTTGTCCAATTGCTATGAAAGCTATAAAAAAAGCAATACACTTAAGTACACTTAATTTTCTAGACAAATGTAATCCATAGATGTGAAAAGCTGCACGTACCAATGGATCTGTCGCGATCTTTCTTGAGCTGTGTCAAGAGGTGTGACATGAATTTTTGAACATATGTCGCTACAAACTCTTTGTCATTAAATTCTGCAAGAACAGGTATTAATGAAATAACGGTTCGTCGAATCAGACCATCCCGATGGTCTTTATATCGATACACTGTTTCACAAACATATTTGTATCTTTCGTGCATAAACTGTGTTTATAATATTGTGGGAATTAAATTTACTTACTCTGTGATTGTCGTTAATAACGTAAACAAGAACTATGCTTACTGCCTGTGCATGATTTAGCAATTCACGGTAAACCAATAACGCTCCATGTATTTGATCTGCATTATTACTTTTTATGCCCTTTACAGTTTCGTCATATGTTTTGTTGTACCATTGAATCTTTAACACAGTTTCACGTTCATTCACAATTTTAAGGCAAGCACTCAAAGTTTCTGCAGAAGCCTCTCGGATAATTTGCTTCTGGTCGCGTAGTCCAACCCATATTGAGTCTAATATTGATGGTACGTGTCCATATATGAGTGTCGGCGCGTTTTGTGCAAGCTCACGAAGTACGAGTGCTGCCGCATATCTTCGTAATTCCTGACGATCTCCTATACCATTACAAATTACGATCAATAGAGAAGTGGAATCCGTGAACAAAATATACGATTGATTAAACCTACCTTGCAAATATTCTAAAGCAGTATTAACTTCACGCATTACGAAAATAGCTGTTACGGCACCGTTAGGAGCAGCTAACTTGCCTGATCATTGAATTATTATTAATTATTGTTGAGTTAATGAAATATCAAGATTAATTAGTGATGATTTTAAGTACCTAAAGCTTTTGATGCTAAAATCATGATTTGTTGGTCACCACTAGGAAGAACCATTTTTAAATAATTCGTGAAACGAGACAATGTCGTTGTTTCGATGTTATTGTTGATCAATGAGTCTAAATATATAAAAATTACAGATTGGCTATGTATGCATAAAAGAAGAAGACTTGATAAGGTAAAAGTGCAATCATTTACTTGCCAATTGCAAGTATACCGCCGATTTTATGAGAATCGGGGGTGTCTCCTTGCATCATTTCAAATATTCTCTTATTAGCTTCATTTAATAAATTAGATTGCCCTTCGACCTTATATTCACGCCAAATAAAATCGTTAAGCCTTGTTCGGTTTTACAAAATTCAAATATTTTTTTTTAAAAAAAAACAAGCGGATCAAATTACCAGTATGCGAAGATCTTGTGCGGCCTTTTGTTGAATGGCCCTATCTCTGTTATAAATATTATTAAGTTAATCGGATTAAAGACGGTGCAAATAACGTTATTATAATAATGAGCATACGTACCTGTTTTTTAGTCGATTAAAAATTTCGTCCATTACGACTAAAACAGCCGGTAATGTAATAACAATAAAAAAAATAATTCGTGATGAAAAATTTATTGTGGAGTTGGCGCTGTATATGTGTATATGTGGTTGCAGTATCTTTTTTAATCAGTGCACAATCTTTTAAGGAAAAACATCAAGAAAAAAGCTTTGATGCGCATATCCAAGTTTGTACACACCCTGTGAATAATGTGGCTAACGCCTTTTCTTTCCAAATATAAAGTGACTGATTCATAGTAAAAAAAAAAAACTTTGGCGAACAAGTTGTCACGATATTTATAGTGCTATAATTTTTATACTTTTCGTAATCCGTTTTATGAATTGCCTTCGTAGCTAGGCTAATTCTCAAGTAACGGTGCGACGACTTAGAATTAAACAACACTATGTGGTCAAAATTTGTTGGCCAACTAAATCCAATATTTGGTGCAGCACATTCTGTAACATCAACGACACCTTTAAAAATTACTGAGCGACTTTCTAGGAAATCTAGTGTTGGATCGCAAAAAGATCCACGCGTAACAGAGGCTAGACGAAAGAGTAGTCTGTTGTATGGTGTTGCACTAGGCAGTGAAATCTCTGTACAAGAAAAGCTATCGGAGAAACAATTTTCACGCAAAACGTGAGTTCTGATGGTGGTTACTTTATTAATTCTTACGGGTTGAATAATAAATATTATATGTGTTCATCTTAGACATATCACAGAGATTGAAGTTTTATTTAGACGATTTCATTTATCATAATAGCAAGCACATATATACATATTGTATAGGTGCTATAAGATATAAATGAGCGAGCAATGTTAATTTGTAATTTTTAAAAATCATAATAATCTAGTTTAGAATAATTAAGGCCCGCGTAATTAGTTAATTAGTTTTGTATAATAAAATTAATCATTAGACCTTTTTTAACTTGTTAATTATCTATTTAATGTAGTGTTAGAATCTCTGCTGAGCAACAACAAGAATTATGTTCACTCTTTCAACAATGGCAGAACGCATTGGATGAAAAGGTATTAATACTTACAATAAACTAGTTTCTACTATTTTAACGTCTGGATGTAAACTTTTAGAATATGTTTAATTGGATCTTATTAAACTATTAAAACATGAATTAAATTATAATTCTTCCAAAATTATTTTTATTCATGAGTTTCATAACTAATCTTATTATATTGATCAGGAACGTAGTGTTCTCCTAATTGCATTATCACGTAAATTTTTTGAAAATTATGTCGACGCTCCTGAAATGGTGGGAGAGAGGTGAATATTTTAAATTTTCTATCTGCAGTAATTGATATTTATTATGTCTTACTAAAAAAAATATATATTTAAATAATAAATAGCTTGGACGATTTGGAACTTTTCACTAATGCTGTTTCAAGGCATTTAATTAATTGTATTCAGTCACAAGCCAGTCAGGGTAAAGTGGGCATATATAATTATTAGTTGCTTTTTGTTTTTTTTTCGTGATTATAATTGATGATGTTAATTTTCAATTATTCATTTTCCGCATGAAAAGATATTTAACAATATTTTTATCAGTTCAAAGTTATTTGCTCATCCCTAGTCAGGAAGCATACCATCATCTTTTATTTCATTAGGTAAATGAAAGTCTTGTTCAATAGTAACCGATAAACGTTATTAGGATCTAGAAAAATTGAATCGCAAAACACATGATAGAAATTAAATATACCGTTGTGTTGATATGGGGTTCTGTTTGATATAACAGGTTTGATTTCATCCGCTCCAGTAAATGCCAAATCCTCAACCATTTCAAGAAGTGCATCCTATATTGTAAATGTTTATCAATGAAGGTATTAATTTAAACGTTGTATAAGACTAAATTACCTTTGCTTCAGAATATAGTCCATCAAATGGAGGTAATATAAGCAAATTGAAAAATATTTCATATCCATTTATATTCAAAAAGTTCTCTAAAAAAATCGGGGACACATGGAGAGTTCCCTTTTGTGATAAATTAAGTCAATAAAGGATATTTATGTTTCTTTTAATTAGTAATACGAGGTAATTACAAAAAAATATTATGTAAAAAATCATAGTTAATTAAATCCTTGCCTGTATTATTTCTAAAAGTAATGAACCTGCATATATTAACCGTTTGCCACCGATGAAAGTATTACTCTTTAAGTCTAAAGCATCTTTTAATATTTTCATTAAAGTCCCCATAACATTTTTATCTATAAAATATTTTATAATATCTTGCGTGGCAACTGCAAAAAGTTCGATAAGAACTTCCATCGCTCTACATAAGGTAATCATGCGTTAGTATTCTTACTACAATACAATCATAAAACACGATATATTTTAATCATTTAACAACTCATACCTGTCCTCCCAAACATATGGATCTTCTTTACAATCTAATATAGATATTCTGTCA